TTACTATCTTTGACATGGGGCCCGCATGTTAAAATGAAATTTAAGACACTTAACAAACGACTAAAACTACTTTACTCTATTTTTTTTCTAAATCTTCAAAACCAACACTCAAACAGAAACTGATTACATATACATACTTACTTAAACCCATATGGACGTACTCATCACAAATATACGGCATCGCTAAAAAGACTCACCTAGAAAAACTTCAAACATTCCAATCAAAATTATTGCGACTCATAACAAAAGCACCTTGGTACGTAACTAACAAAACTCTACATACTGACCTCCACTTTCCAATAGTTGACCAACATAGAACGACCGTTTATCAACGATTTTACACAAATTTAAATGGACATAATAACAGACTAATAAGAGACATGGCCACAGCTGACATACCCCAGAACATGAGCAGGAGACTAAAAAGGCGTTGGACGAGTTATAACACATATAACAAGTTAGGGAAGAGGTCCTGCTGAGTACTTTTCTTCCCCATGCTGTCATGCCATTATTTCATGTATCGCCATCACATTTGCTGATTGTCAACAATAAGTTGACAGGCGCATATAAACAAAAAAAAAAAAAACTAAATCAACCAGGTTTACTATCTACCAAATACTTGTTTTTTAAATCTTTCATAAAATAAATAAATAACTTACATAAAATAAATACATTTCAATTCATAAAATAAAATTAAATTATACACACAAAGTTTGTTTTCTTTTTGTTGAAAGGTATAAAAATAAAATGTACTTCACAACGTCTTTAATAAAAATAGTAAGGAAAAAACGGTGTGTATTTTGAAGAACGAAAAGTTTATATAAACAATATTTAATTATATATTGAACAGTGCATTTGTTAATAAACAAAAAAGGGTAAATATACACACTCCTAATGGTTACCTCTACAATCATAATTTTTTTTTTGTTATTAAATGTTTCACTATAGAGAATTTATATATTTCAAACTGATTGATATTTAATTTAGAGCACTATTATGTATGGCATGAGTAATAAAATAAAATAATCCTATTGTTAGGTAAATAAAAAAAAAAAAGAATGAAGTACACTAATTATTAGATTCAGCCAATAATTTTCTTCTCCCTTAGCCAAGGTCTCTTGCAGCTAATATTATTCTAAATGTAAAAATTTATAAATATTTTATATTATAGTTATAGTGCGCTTTTATTAATAATTTATCTATATCAAGAAAGATATAACGAAGAATCAGATTTATCATACAGCACTAATTGAACAAATTATTGCAATAAATATTGACATAAAAATATCATTAAATGGAATAGGATTTCATGTTATGGGTTAATATTCACTTTGTTTTCACATTATTTCAAGATTAGGATTAATAATTTTAGATAAAAAAAAAAATCTCATAATGTCGAAATTCCGACTGAATCATTTCATTCCACCAGGCCCAAAAAATCGAAAGGCGAATTTCGAACTCCCAAGTTCAAGGGAGAGGAGGTAGTCGGGCGACCTCAGATGAGATTTGGGGGCTATATAAGAAGCCACCGCCCATCCAAGATCCAGTTTGTAGTGAGCTCTCAACAATGGCACGTCTTGTGAGTAACATGTTCGTTACTGTAGAATATTAAGTTACAACTTATAACGTTATCCAGGAATGTTCGCTAACGGTTCTTGTTTCAGGTATTACTCATCGCCGCCGTTTTCGGCGTGGCTTCCGCCCAGCTGATCTCTCACGCTCCTCTCGCCTACTCCAGGCCATTGGCATACGCCAGGCCCCTCGCCTACGCTAGGCCCTATGCTTCTTATGCTGCTCCAGTAGCCACTGTCGCTCACGCTCCAGTCGCCGTAGCTCATGCTCCAGTCGCTGTAGCCCATGCTGCCCCAGCTCTCGCCGTTGCACCCAGGGTTGAGGAATACGACCCACACCCATCCTACTCCTTCTCTTACTCCGTCAACGACGCTTCTACCGGAGACTCCAAGGGACAGCATGAGACCCGTGACGGAGATGTCGTCCAGGGCAGCTACTCCCTCGCCGAACCCGACGGTTCCATCAGGACCGTAGACTACACCGCTGACCCAGTCAACGGATTCAACGCCGTCGTTCACAAGGATGCAGGAGCACATGCCGCCCCAGTAGCAGTCGCTCATGCTCCAGTCGCCGTCGCTCACGCTCCAGTCGCTGTCGCTCATCCTCCAGTCCTCGCCGCTAGGGCCTATGCTCCAGCCTACGCCACCGCCGTACACGCCCCAGTCACCACCCTCCTCCATCATTAAATTATTTAATTTGTATAGGTAATAAATTGTATATATAAACTATTTGCTGTTTTTAGATTTCTCGTACCTAATGCCAATATAGAATTCTCATCGATGAAATATTTAAATGTTGTTGGTTCACAACTTACTATATAATTGTTGTTGTTGATATTTTGATTCCTTTAAAGATGATAATGCAATTCAATCAGAATACTACTGGAATATCAGAGATGTGTAGGAACAATTAATGTTTGGAACAGTTTCAGTTCCTTCGTTGAAATAGCTCTGCTTAATGGTTCTAGGTTCTACTAGCCCGTCGGACTTTATTTGCTTGTCTTACTACAAACTTAAGTAGTAGGATAATAACATTCTGCCATTTAACTAATTTAATATTGTAAATTATTTATATCTATATAGCTGAGTATAATTTGGAGGAATCTATTTCCATATACAACCATATGGTTCGATGATATTTAATGTGAGGCTTAAACAGTTATAATTATGTTAATAATAAAAACGTAGACCTACAAACAATTTTATTGGATTAAAACGATTTTTTTTTTACCTACGCGGACAATGTTTTTAAATATGTTATAAAAGTAATATTTTTTACAACAGTTGTTAGTTTATAAATATTTGTAATAATAAAATTTAAATTAAAGTTACCAGAATCGTGGAATATTTCTTATCTCATACGATATTATTAAAATACTATCATTTGTCATTCTTCATTTTTTCGAAACGATTTTCATTTTTAAGGTTCATTCTTTAATATCTTTTATTAAAGACGACTAAAATGTTTAGACTCCACATCTTTTCCATTAAAAGACAAAAAAATATTAGTACGAGTGGTATCCACACTGACAGGCTCAGTACAGATCTATATTTAAAGTATAGCTCGGTATGACATAGTAGTTTGGTCCATATTGTTTTAAAAGCCTGAAGGTAGTCACATCTTGAATGGAGTTTTCCAGCATACCACAAGAGCATAAGATATTGTTGTCGCCAATGCCCAAAATAATCTATGTCCAGGAAAGGTTTGCGATGCCCGATTGTCGAAAAGGATCTGTTAGCTTCCAAATATGAATAGACGGTATTGAATATTTTCTCTAGATAGGGCTTCCTGAGTAGTTACAGAGCATCAATTCCGCTCTTCAATGCTGTCCTCCGATACTATTCCTTTCCATTTAGTTTGATTTGGCGCAATCCAATCTTGGAGATATTCATCTCTTCTCGCGAGAATGTTAACGACACGTCAAGTGAGCAACATTCCTATGAAAATAGCTTACTCTTAACAAAGCGATCTTCTGGATTTTCGGCCATTTTTTTCTCTTTTGTTATGAAGGGTTCTCGTTGCTGGACTTGTGACAGATCCTTTAAGATATCCAATACTACTACTTTATAAACAATCACCATAGAAGGTGCTTTTATACTTACCAAGTCCATTGAGGGCTAGGGTCACTCTACTTCAGAAATAGTGTGAAGGGTAACATTGAATATTCTTCCGTACCTTAGTCCAACGTTTTTCCTTAACACCTGAGCGTATCCTTGTATATCCATGATTAAAGAATCAGCTCTCGCTGTCTAAAATTATACAAGAAAAATTGTTCGCAAACGCCATTTTCGGCTCGCACAATTTCTCGACTTATATGGAGCGTGTCTAAGGTTATTCTTTTAAGACTAGTCTGCTGCTGATGCCGCCTCTCCTTCAAGTAAATGGCATATGTCTCAGGAGGAAAATTCCACTTTTTTATTACACCCAGAAATCGTAAATGAGAAACTTCTAAAGGCAGTTTCCATGTTTGGTACAAGTTAATTCCAGGTGAATAATCCGAAGCTCCTGTAATAAATCTTTCATTTTCGTGTTTTCATCACAGGGTTATGTCGTTTTAAAAGATTATTTGTCTTGCAACCTCACCATGATGCTCTGTTGGACATATTCATTTTCTGAGTAGCCAACATGCCATAACCCTTTAAGAAACACCATAGAAATTCTTGGCGCCTTTATATCCGTATCTTTATCGTCATAACATATAGTTGTATTTATTGACTAATATAAACTTTTAATAAAACTAATAGGAGTGGAAAAAAGAAGAATTTAGGTACAAAATTATAATTTCTAAATGAAAGTAGTTATCTTACACCATACACAAAAAATAATTAATTTATTAAGTCTATACTTATAAAAATGTTTACTTGTAATAATATGCAAACTTGTAATCATATGTTGTTGGCCACAACACATAACATTAAGAGCTTTAAGAAAAATAATTAAATTGCTCATGATAAAAAAAAAAAAATCAAAATTAACTGATCGATGACTGAAATCTATGAAAAGAATTTATACAACAATAATAAATACAAGCTTATAATAGTTTACGTTATAATAGTACTTATAACAGTACTTAAGTTATAATAGTTTAGTATACTATAATAAATACAGAACAAAGCTTATAAATATGATATGAAAATAAATAAATCAATATTTATTTTGAGGTAGTATCATAACATAATCTTAATTTTATGTGGTAACAACGTATTCCTTGAATGCATTTATAATTCTTTTAAAAAAAATTTTTTTTTGGAAAATATATCGGTTTCGACTATAACATTTCAAAATAATATATATAGACTTAACAAATATCGATATTTCGATATATCGACATTTATCGAACATATCTATTTATGTTTACCCATGTCTCAGAAATTATGTCTGCATCTATAACAGAACATGGAATCCTATTTACTGAGTAGTTGGCCAGAATGTTTATTAAAGCTATTCCAAGGCTGCTGATGAAGGTACCTTAGCGCAGACTTCGAGTTGTCGACAAACCAAGATTAAGATAGTCGGATCGCGTGGCTTGTGGTGCCAGAAAAATACGTTTATGATTACATGACGACAGCCAGCGATAGAAATTCGTATCGATTGGAGGTCGAGAAGCCAAGAAATGATGGAGAGTTTTACTGTTGCATTAATAACACTTCTGTGTTATTATAGTCACCAACAGATGACCCTATTCTACTGTGGGGTAATGGTACGCTTTGATATACCGATTTAAGAACTGTCCTTAGATTTCATCTATCATCTACAGTTTATTTACAAAATACCGAATGGGACTTGTTATTTTATTGTAAAAATGGATACTAATTTTTCGAGAGCTATTTAGAAAAAAAAATGTATATTTAACCAAACATTGGACTAGGATAATTTGGTCTGAGAATAAAAAAAATTGTGCCTTGAACAGAATTTTATAATTATAAAATAATGATTTCATTTTTCCATAATAAAACAGACAATAAGACAAATAAAACAGAGATAAATAACAAAATAAAGAGAAATTCCTTTCCCTTTACTTCTCTGAAGTTTAAAAACGTTTTCTTCAAAAGCTATTAATATGTTTGTTTTTAATTTTAAAATATTAAGGTTTAATTGAATTTAAAATAAGTCAGTTAAATTAACATATTTTAGAAATAAGAATATCATTGAGAATTAACAAAACAATAAGAATGATTAAATAAAGAATGTATAATAAAATATTTGCAGTCCCTGCAACTTGCAGGCTGCAGGCATAGTCGAAAAATAGGTAGAACAAAATATTAAAAACAGTTAAATATGATTAAATAATAAATTTTTGACAAAGAAAGAAGGCAATTAATATATAATAAGGTATTTTTTTACCAAATTGTAGTATGATGGAGGTTATTAATATAAGATTCTATTTCTGATGAGGACCTATATTTAAGAAGATAAATTAACTTTTCGTCATACACTTATACGATAAAATCAGAGGAGCTGATTAACTCCATTGATATGAAAATTAACAATGATCTTCGTAAAATAAAGTAAAAGGAATGTTTTTGAATAATAACATATTATGTACATTATATCAATTTTTTTTTCCCAATTCTTCATCGGCACCTGTCATGGTAGTGACAATTAGCAGATATTTTGTTAATTAGAAAATGGTATGATTGGCATGACGAAGAATGGAGCCCAGCAGCACCTCTTCCCTGGTCTGTTTACATCCTAAAATCAGAAAAGGAGCTCTCTCATCCAGCTCCTTTTCAGTCACCTCCTGATGAGCATTTCAGCGGTGGCCATGTCGTTGATAAGTACATTGTTATGTCCGTGTAGTTTAAGATGAAATCGGGAGTAAAGATTACGTATGTGCTGGTCAATGGTTGGTTGTCTTAGGTCGGTACGTAAAGTCTTGCTGTAAACATACCAGGGAGTTGCAGTTATTAGTCTTAAAATTTTAAATTGAGAAGATGTTAAATTGAAATTCCGTTAAACAAAAAAAAAAAAAAAAAGATTTGGAATAAACAAAATAATTGTATACCGCTTCCGGATATAATTCCGCGAAAGGTATATTTTATATAGTGTGTTTAAACTAAAATAACATCGACCCAAAACACACAAAGTTATCAAAATAATATTATCCCTATTTCATATGAAAAATTATCATACAAGTTCTATGTTCATAGTCTTATTAATTACTCCCAATTAGTTATTATTATTGTAATATATTAATTAATGACATTTTGCAATATACCTACAATAATAACTATTTCAATAAAATTATTTGACTTTTTTTTTAGGGCGAAAGATCATAATACTTAATTAATAACTATATAATTAAAAATGTTCTAGAAATACTAGTTTACGCATCCCTTACTGACTAGTGATCTCATAGACTTCTGGTGCCTAGTTTTATGATATTAATGACATAAAAACACAAATGAGATTTTTTTAAAATGTAACTACACTTTATTCGATATTTAATAAAAAAAAAAGAAGCTTGTCTTAACAATTTTTTTTTTTTGGAAAATATATCGGTTTCGACTATAACATTTCAAAATAATATATATAGACATAACAAATATAGATATTTCGATATATCGACATTTATCGAACATATCTATTTATGTTTCCATTTATAGTTGACCATAGTCAATTATAAATCAAATTCACAAATATCGGATCGGATCTATTACTTAAAATGTAGCACTAGTCAAATCTAGCTGATGTTCCTAAGTTTAAGATAGATGTGATTTTAATAATATGGAGACCGGAATAAAAAGATTTCATTGCATTTGTTTGTTTTGTTTGATTTTTTCTTTTCACTTCGATTACTATGGATTAAGATTTAAGAAGTATGCCAGGAATCTGACCCATACTGGTATAAATCAATAAATTTACGAAACTTTTATTTAAAAAATTAACAGGGCTAAGATAAGAATAACTACAGTATTCCTAGAATTCAATAAAAATACCAATAAATTGACTTAGAATAAACCTAAAAACTTATTAAATTAAAAATTGCCACTATATTTACTCGCACAGGCATTTTAAATCTACCATAAATCTAATCTACCATCATCTCAAGTTATGTCAGAAGTAACCATATTACATAAATAACAATAGAGCACATCAGATAATATTCTATCATATGCAGACAACTAAAGGATAAAAAAATCCTAGGAAGTTAAATCTACTGCAATGATTATTAAATTACATTAAAAAAATGAATGTTAGTAAACGAAATACGAACCGGCTTACATAGATATAGTTATTACTGGGTCAGGTTCAAGCAAGCAAGAGCTAGTTTGACCAGCAGAGATCGCATGAAATCTGCTATATAAGCAGCCAACGCCCTTCCGATAGCCAGTTACCAGCGAGCTCTCAATCATGGCACCTCTTGTACGTATCTTCACTGTATAAGATCGATTTATATTAATCATTTTAATATGCAATAGCAGGTATTTTTCTCATTAACTGCTAAATGTAACTGTTATAGATACTCCTCTTCACCGCTGCCCTCGGTCTGGCCTCTGCCGCCCCTCAATACGGCTACCACGCTCCAGTCGTCGCTCATGCTCCAGTAGCTGTCGCTCCAGCACCTGTCGCTTATGCTAGACCAGTCGCTTACGCCAGACCTGTCGCTTACGCTAGACCTTATGCAGCTCCAGTTGCAGTTGCTAGACCAGTCGCCGTTGCTCACGCCCCCGTCGCGGTAGCAGCTCCTAGAGTTGAACCATACGATCCTCATCCATCATACTCTTTCTCCTACTCCGTCAACGACCACTCTACTGGAGATTCCAAGGGACAGCATGAGACCCGTGACGGTGATGTTGTTCAGGGTAGCTACTCCGTCGCCGAACCAGACGGTTCCGTCAGGACTGTAGACTACACCGCTGATCCAGTCAACGGATTCAACGCCGTCGTTCACAGGGATGCAGGAGCGCATCCAGCTCCAGTAGCAGTCGCTCATGCTCCAGTAGCAGTCGCTCATGCTCCAGTCGCCGTAGCTCATGCTCCAGCATATGTGCACTAAATAATTTATTTGTATTTATAAAACTGAGTAGCCTTGGGTTACGAATCTCATCCCGATGGCATGTAATATAAAATAATCCTATGGTATTATTGAATTTAATATTTGTAAGGGGAGTTAATTATACATTTTGTTTATAGTTATATCTCCTTTTTTTTTTTTATGGCTCCCTTACCATAGATTTAAATTTTTATTTAACCTATGGAGCAAATTGGAAACATCAACAAAACCAACAGGGCGATACAGCTAGTCCAAGAAAAGTTTGGATAATTTATGTCTGCGGAAAGACCAAAGAGTTATAAATCAGCATCGAGCAGTATGTGTGCCCACAATATGTGGGTACACATTCCGAATTCCATACAATAGTACATAGAAATATCCACAATGCGCCTGCTTTTTTTTTCTTTTGTTTTTCCATTCTTTTTTTTAATACATATTTCGATCTTTGCCAAATTGAAAAATTATTTCGTTTTAAATTTCACTTGCCTATATATGAAATAAATAGAAAAAAAAAAGTATTACAAACGTGACGAATTTTCAACAGAAATACATATTTTGAGGTCCCCTTAGTCTAAATAATCAAGTCCTGCAAAATGTGTTAGTGAGTGAACAACAAGCTCAAAAACGATAAGTCATGGGAAACTGTAATTGCATATCTAAGGTTTGTATATGTATGGAATCTTTTAGCAATTTTTCCAAATGGAAATCGACAATCTGGATCCGATAAGCGTCACACCATCAATTTTACACAGTTTTACAATTTTCTAGTAAATGGCTCGATTTCGATTAAATTCATATCAGTTTAGAATTAAGCAGATTTTAGTATAATTCATATATTATTTTCATTAATGTTCTCTAACAGTAACCAAATTCCTATTTTTTTAAATTTCTTCCTTTATTTTATTTTTCAAATTTAAAATTACCATTTTACATTGTAACCTGCTATAAATAATGCTTAAATATAAAATATCAAATGAGTTAGTAATTAAAGGAGAAATAAAGAATCGTAAAAGATCACCGAAGAAACTGGAGTACGCATTCGAACTTATACTAAAGGTCAGATAAGCTTTCGACACATAACATGTACCTAATAATGTATTGATATATATATATATATATATATATATATATATATATATATATATATATATATATATATATATATATATATATATATATATATATATATATATATATAGATGTGCATTATTTATAAATTTAGCACCATTTAGTATTAAGCAATACAAAAATTAAAATCTGTAAACTACTACTTAAACAAATAATAGTACAATGAAATCGAAATATATATAGCTGCTTTTTGTATCAGTAGCAATCTTGTCGGACTTAAAATATTTCGTGGCACTTGACTACCAACTATAATCAAAAAAATAATTTAAATACAGTCGTAAAAAGAATTGGTCGATAACAAAAAAAGTGTAAACATAATACATTAGAGGGGTGAGAAAAACAAGTGGTAATTAATAGTTTTAAATTATATTTTGTACCGTCTGTTATTTCTACTGTAGTTTTCCTTTATCAGACAATACCTGTTTCTGCTGGTGGTAAGTGAAAGTTGTGTGATGCTCACATCGCACCAGATTTTTAAAATATGTGTTAGAAGAAAAAATTTATCAAGTAAGCATTATAAAGTCGGTAATGAATTTTTTTTTTAAAATATAATAAATGAAATATTTACTAAATAGCTAGAATTAATAAATTACAAAACAGACCTCAGATATCATTTCATAAAGTGTCAAAACAAACAATAGAATTTAAATCTTCCATGCATGATCCTCAGCATAATTTTTTACTTTAACTCACTTATATGAGTATTGTATAGTAAGAGGAAACAAAGCGATAGTAAATATATTCAAATTCGAGTTTACAATGACAGTACTCGTTTTGAGGTGCACAGTGAGTCCGAATAACACTAATGGTCTTGGTATGTTAATGGTCTAGAACAAAAACGAAACTGATATTGCTTATTTAAGTTAGATATATCCTTGATGTTAGGTTTACATTACCTTACAGCATTTTTTTTTTTAATATTAGCTTACCTGTAGTCCCACTTACTATAATCGATTTTACAATTTTCTCGTAAACAGCTATAACTAATTTATTTAAACTCGGTATACCAATGTACAATTTAATTGTGGTATTTAATATCAGCTCGGACTTCTCTCTACTTATGTTACATAACAGGCACTTAATAATAATTTATGAAAAGTGGTATTGTTTAACGGAAACAAAACGTTTCCTAGGAAATCAAATGACATTTTTTGACAAAAACTTTTAAAATTATTTTCAAGTTTTAAAAAAAAGTGTATATATATATATATATAAGTTATGGTTGGATGTAAGACAATATAACAGTTAATCCTAAGTTAATCCTATCTATGAAGTGTAAACAAAGTGTAATACTATATATATATATATAGATAGCATTACCAAGGCAATAAAGTCAGTCTTATTTGAGGGTTCAGTTCTATGGAGTGCCAGATCGCATAACGTCGGACGGAGGCAGGGAGTTCGACAGCAGTACCATACGAGAAGAAGCGAAGCGCTTGGATATAGTTTGGCACTTCAATACGCCGGGACATCCAAAGGGCAGGGGAGCTATCGAGAGGTTGCATAGCACCCTAAGCGATCACCTACGTATATACCAGGGGGAGCAGGGATTAGAAGCGGACGTAGCAATGCAGAGGGCGGTAGCGGCCTACAACCATTGGATCCACTCCGTTACAGGGTTTTCCCCAGTCGAGGTACTGTTCGGGGTAAATATACGGATCTCGAGATTGGAAGGAAACAGTCACGAACGAGGACCACGCTCAACAGATAACGTGTAACAGAGCGGAAATAAGGAAAGTGTGGGAGAAAACGAAAGGGAGAATAGAGAAAGAGAAGTGGAAAAGGGTAATTTGAACCTCAAAGATAGAATGGGTACATTGAAAATAGGGACGGTCGTCTATCGTAGGGTCGGATCCAATAGGGGGAAGGAATTGGTGCGCTACGAAGGACCATTCAAGGTAATTATACTTAGAGAGCACAATGTTTGTACGATCCAAAGTCTGAAGGATCCCAGAAAAAGGAGGACCGTTCACATAGAACAGTTAAAACTCCCGATAGAGACGGAGTCACTACAGTAAATATGTGGGATATCCTCTTTTCTGTCTCCTACAAGCTAGGGACCGACGCTAAAAGGTTATTTTGATTTCGTTGTTTCACTTTTGGTTGTAAGATAACAGTGTCTTTTAATTTTTTTTTTTATTATTACTCTGGCTGTTCTAGGAACTCCAACGGCGATTTTTTTTTTTTTTTTGTTTGTTTGTGGTTGTTGTATTTTGGTTATGTATTACGTCAGTTACCCTGCATTAGTTTATGAGGAATGTTCATAAACTGGCGGGGGGGAGTTATGGTTAGATGTAAGACAATATAACAGTTAATCCTAAGTTAATCCTATCTATGAAGTGTAAACAAAGTGTAATACTATATATATAGATAGCATTACCAAGGCAATAAAGTCAGTCTTATTTGAGTAACCACGTGCTTGATTTCAGATCCTTTTTTCCTTTTTTTTATTATTTCTTGTTCGAACAGACGTAAGTTATATATATATATATATATATATATATATATATATATATATATATATATATATAAAATCTGACGAATCAAAACAATGCTCTAGATCTATTTCATTTTACCTCTGTGAAAGAAGAAGTGAAATAAACAAATATTTCATCAATAAATAAAACATCTTTATAACCTTTAACATGTGTACTGTAGTCTAATAACTTTATAATGAAACCCTCTCCTGAGCACCCCTACACCTATCATCACCATGTTATTCGAATCACTGGCTAGTAGTTCCTTGACTTGTGTAAATGAAGAAATATAAATAAATTGTAAGCAGCAAGTCTCCATAATTGAGAACTCATTTCCGTTTGTTTTAGCCTGGGTAACAGTTAAAGAGTGAATGAATTTTTTTATTAATGATTTCTATGTTTTGAATGAATTAGAACATTCAAATATTTTATTCAATAACTTTCAGGACTATAACAAAGGCTCACTGGTACGCCAGTAACATTAATTTTTAACATTAACATTAATTAATATCAATAACATTACTGTTTCCTACAGATGTCGTCAGTTAATGACCACATGTGAATACATTATACAATATTTCACAATAACCCGGACATGCCACCTCACTGATTCAAAGCATAGCCTCAACCTACATATCCGATAACAGCCGTAGGCTAAACAAAAGCTGGTTGAGGGATCTCCTCAACTAACTAGAAATATTAAAACAAGACAGGAAAGGACGCCGCTGGAAACTCCCCTCCATCAAGTCTACCAACTACTTATTCCAAATTCTACTTCTCGACATCACACGCGCTGGTTGTCGGTGCTTCTGACAGGTGTGAATGATAAGAAGGTCGTGATGGCCCAGTGTGTTGGAGCGTTACCCGTTTTTGCACCCTCGCGTCGGTTCAAATCCGGCCTGGGAGTTTAGAACTTTTATTTCGTGACGGACCAGCGGAATGAAACTCCCACTCTTGTTAGAATAGGTTTGATTGTAACTCTAGAACAACTCCTTCTCCCCGTATACCAGAAATAGTGGGCAGGGAAATGTTCAATTATAGGTGTGCACGTAGCCGTTGCCCGGCAACCTGATACATAAGATAACTGGATAAAAATAGAGTTCGCGTCCCGCTGCCCGGGGAGTCTTTTAACTCAACCATTAATCCCGCCCTCATCTCCTGGCCCAAGAAAACCCTGGCCCAGATGAGGACCCACAAAAAAAAAGGAAATAGTGTGGTTAAAAAAATGATTTAAAAAAATCTATTGAAATTATTTTACATTTTTTGTTTTTCAAATCAAAACATACAGTAATTTGTTTCTCAATGCAACATGTAAAAATCCTGGGGTATAAAAGGTAAATTATAAAACCATACCCCAATGCATAAACAAATTTTAAACCTTTAAATATTTCAACATGGGGCTGTGAGCATAGGAAATTGCGAAAATCCTATTGCACATGCAAAAATTTGCCCAAATGTTCATAGTGTTGTTCTGCCAATACCATAATCCTTCCTACTAAATTTCAAATCATTTGTTCTATGGATGCACTGAAATATGGCTCAAAAAATAAAACAGATCATTCTTCCATTTGGCACGAAGTTCAGAATTAAAATTTAACAAAACAAAATTTTTAATCATAATATTCGTTTAAGGATTTATTTCAAGATAGGTTCCAAATCATACGGACACAAAATTCCTTCATAGAGACCAATGTACAGATAAAGGATGAAGATTGAAATCATGAAGGCGAAGAGGCAACTAGAAGAATTTATAATTCACATTGAAGATCTTAATAAGTAGAAGATAAGAATTTTGAGGGTAAATATAAAACGTTTTACAGACATTAATTGTTGTCACTTTTCCTCAAAATCTCAAAATAGGGTATTATGATAACATCGGATCACCAAGGGATAGAACGGAGCCACTGATAGTATCATATCTCTTTTTACTTTTTTTGGTAATGTGAGGAAGTGAGGGGTATAGAAATTTTAAGATTTATTAAGAATAAACCATCCTCATACATCTCACAGAAAGAAACGAAAATTGGACCATTGAACCTCTGACAAAACACTTGTTTCAACGTATAAATAATAATAATCAAATATAGCTACTGTTGGTGAAAAAGGTCGTATGTAACAATTTTACATGTTTATTCTCTTCGCGTTAATGGTGACAATTTGTAGTCAGCCAATGCTATACATAGTCTGCTGAATAGGCTATTTTCATAAATAATATTTTATTGAGAAATAATACATTTAAGGGCATAGAGTACTAGAGCTGTATTTGACTCTTCCATACCATATATACGATAACGAAAACAATAGAAAAATTATAACAAAACAAAAGAAATGAAACATAAGTCAACATCAAATAAAAATATGAAATTCATAAAAACATATTCAAACTTATTTACAAAATATGGAAATAGCTGAGGAAAATAAAATATGAAATTATACTTATAGATCATACAGAAATAATCGGTTTTATGCTCTTCTGTAAAAAAATATAGATTTATACATACTACCTCTTCCACTAACAGCAGCGATATATCTAATTGTTCAACATTTAATTCTCTTTGTAATGGTCTATTATTCAAAATTGTATCGAAATACTACTTCGTGTTAAAGAGGAGAAAAGGGAAAAAACAGTATCGATATCCAACTGATCACGAGTTTTATTGAAGATATAGATTAAAATATCTCAGAAACTAAAATTGATATCTGCATACTGTAGGCAAGTAAGATATTTAGAATTTCATCCTCTTCCTATTGAACTATTATTAAAAATTGTATCTTAACGCGAAGAAGAAGAAACTTTCTTTAATGCATTAAAAATTTGAACTTTTGATGGGTTCAAAAGTTCCAAAAAACTTTAAATCGAACAGTCTAATACGCAAACGAGCGTTTTAGTAATAACTAAAAGGGTAACTATTGGTATGTTAGGTTGAAAATTTTCTTAAAATACATTTTGGCCCTCGCTCCAGGACTAACAGATCTCCTACTAACACCATCAATCGAGTGAATTAAGAATTAAGAGGCTAATGACCTGGCCGAAACAAAACAATATTATTACCTCATCATTTGATATCTCAATATACAAAAAAAGGCAGCAATAATCTGTTGCACAGTGACCAATTATATAAGAACCTGTTTACTGGCATATATGCAGTCAGTGAGGGTTCAAGTTCAAGGGGGCTGAATGTAGTTTGACTACTAGCGATCACTTAAATCCAGCTATATAAGCCGGATCGATCATAGGAGATACAGTATCCAACCATGCCACGACTAGTAAGTATCTCTTAGAAAGGGAAATGTATATGTATATTAATATTAGGCAATACGAACAATTCTTATTTATTCCATTGTTACAGGTACTCCTCATCGCCGCCGTTATCGGCTTGACCTCCGCCGTTCCCCAGTACGGCTACCACGCTCCAGTCGTCGCTCATGCTCCAGTAGCTGTCGCTCACGCCCCAGTAGCTTACTCCAGACCCGTCGCCTACGCCAGACCAGTCGCTTATGCTAGGGCCTACGCAGCTCCTGTAGCTGTTGCAAGACCAGTTTCTTACTCTGCTCCAGTCGCTGTTGCACGACCAGTCGCTTATGCTAGACCTTACGCTGCTCCCGTCGCAGTTGCTCGACCTGTCGCCGTAGCCCATGCCCCTGTCGCCGTAGCAGCACCCAGGGTTGAACCATACGACCCACACCCATCATATTCCTACTCATACTCCGTCAACGATCATTCCACTGGAGACTCCAAAGGACAGACCGAATCCCGTGACGGAGATGTCGTGCATGGAAGTTACTCACTTGCCGAACCTGATGGTTCCATCAGGACCGTAGATTACACCGCCGATCCAGTCAACGGATTCAACGCCGTCGTTCACAGGGAAGCAGGAGCACATCCAGCTCCAGTGGCCGTCGCTCACGCTCCAGTAGCAGTCGCTCATGCTCCAGTGGCTGTCGCTCATGCTCCAATAGCTGTAGCACACGCTCCAGCATATGGTTATCACTAAGTTTTCATAAATCAAGTCTAAAAAGTAGAGCTACGATTTAGTTCCCAATGTATTATGATCCTATGGATTATGTGATTCTAAAGTTTCTTGTATGGAAGAAATAAATATTTTAATATCTGTATATATGTTTTTATATTTTTCCTTCTAAGATACAAAATTACAATACAATTTAAAGATAAAAAACGTGGTGGAAACATTGTGTTATTTCAGTATGCAAAAACGTGCTTTGTGTAAGGCATGTTCTGAATTGAAAACTCTTCCTTTTGATAAAGTTTAACTCACTGAATTTTCAAAATTTCTAGTAAACCATATCTTTCAAAGTTGATACCTGAATTTAGGTACCTACCTTTTTATTTTCTAAGTTTGGTCTGGTTTTTCTTAATATACAAAACAACTAAAGTGACATATAATCAGATTATGTATTCAATATAATAGTCTCGTTTGAGTAAATCAGTATCTAGCAATACAGGAATGAAATATTTTTATCTGGTAGGAAATCTATTTTATGTCCTACTGGTTTGCACCACTTATCATCACTTATATCTTGCATCACTTATAAAATCCATCAAACAAAAAATAATAATGATAATAAATATGCCCTGTCCCATTTTAAATTATTAAATGATTTTTTGAAAGACTATTATAAAATTATTTTTAATATAATTTTATAACAATTGATATAATAATTTTATATAATATAATTATAATCATTAATATTATAATATAACTATCATTCCATAATGAAGAACTGAGATCCCAAATTCAATTAATATTGGAAGAGAATAGTACAAAGGAATTTATAATATGATACAGTAATTATTCAATTAGAGTAATTTCTTATATTTATTCTGCCAAGGGTAATAATTTGGACTGAAAAGTTAAATTTATGGATATCTCGCTTTGAAAATGGAACGAATGAAGCAGATATAATCGCTTATATTAATATAAAATCCGCCCCAGGTTTAATATACAATCAATCACGCTCGAAATTTCAGGACCTACAGCCAAGTAAAAATGGCATAATTATTATAAAATCGTATATTCTGTATAGAATTTGTAATCCTTTTACATTAATTTAATATATAGTACCCGTTGAACCATAGAGTAAAGCACCAAATTCATAGTTTTAGAAAATCAGAACATATTAATTTTAATATCATTTCAATATTTTCATCACAATATAATGAAAGGTCAAAATTGATTAACTAATGTGCAAAATACTGGTGGAAAACTGAAAAAAGCACTTTTAACATTGCAGCGGTAAGCATCTCTCAAAATGTCGCGGTAATCGAAGGTATGGGTTAATCTAATCCTTATTTTCCATCTACAATATTCTTAATTACCCCTGATCCTTATAACATACCATACTTTTTGAAATTGCTTGGACAACTGTTGAGGCACACATTTAGGTTTTATATACGATATACATTTAGTTTTTCTAGGATATTTTGCTTCCTCGCTACCCAAGGTGGAAAAGCATTGTGTCCGTGCGAGAGATAAAAAAAAAAAATGTGCTCAAATCAAAAATTCCCTCTCGCATTTTACGTTTCAGACATCAAGGATTATATTTGGTTCGGTGTATTTCTTTCTGTGTGTCGGTTGGTCTATAGTCAAATCGATGTGACGGGCACATCCGATTTTCATGAAATTTTCAAGGATTATGCGGATTGTTGTCTAGATGGCCCCACATTAATTTTATTATATTCCATCTCGCACTACTGCTTACGCACGCGCAAAAGTATTTTTTTAGATATGCCAATATTTCAGAAACGGCTAGTTCGATTTGGCTCAAAGTTGGATAAAATGTGAAAATAGTGAAAAAAAACTTAATGTCAATTTTATTAAATTTTGCTCAAAAAATTATCGTACATATGCGCAAACGTGTTTTCCGTGATACGTCTATATCTCTAAAACCGCATGTTCGATTTGGCTCAAATTTGGAGGGAAGTTAGAGATCGGTGAACTGATAATAAGTAGGTATGAATTTTATGAAATTCTTTCTCCTTATTCTACAAATAATGCTTTCGCTTTCGGATCAGCAAACGTATTATTTGGCAGGCCTGTAGTTTGAAAACTGCGCGTTGAATGTTACCTAAACTTGGAGGAAATTTGGAGAATTGTATAGACATTTTCTGATATGAATTTTATTGAATTCCATTTAATAATTTAAATTACTACAAATAATTGTTAATAATATAATGACAGTGAAATGTGAAAGGCACTGATCATATGGAGTGGGAGTTAGGTTATGACAATATTTTTTTGGGGTTATGAAATCTTAGGTTTTATTGAAAGAGTTAATTTATACTGCAATGTTTCCTCTAGTCCAAATGTTACTGAGATTTCGTTTAATTTTCAGTTAACGTCAATTAATTTTTACTCTGAGTTTGTAAAAAAGAAAAATCGTATTTGTGGTTGTATTTATTTCTATTAAGTTCAACCAGTTCTACGTGGTATCGAGTTTATGTGAGATTTTTACATATATTTTTATATTTCAGTTTAAATAGTTTTGTTTTGATTGAAGAAAAGTATTGGCCTCGTTAACTCTGAAAAAACAAAAACTTTTGTTTTTCTTATGTCTGTTATCGATTTTTTGTAACATCGATTTTACGAGTGAAAACATGCCGATTAAGTACATATTACTACTGTTAGTGCAAAAGGTTGTAAGAATTCTAGTACGATGAAAAATAGCAAAGAGAAATCAATTGTGAAATTTTATTAATAAATATATTAATTATAATTATAATAATAAATATTATACTATCATGACAATCAGTTTTTATACTTACCTGTAAAACAATCAATGTTTACACACGACTTTTTGCACTAACAGTAGTGATATTCATATTCAGTAAGCACTCGATTATTTTATTTTAATCACGAGTCATCAAATATGCAATCTGCACATGCGGAACTTTTTCGCATTTTAGTGTTAGCTGATAAACGAAGATCGTTGCTATCAAACCAGTATATGTGGAGCTATTTCCGAAGCATTCTCCCAGAGATTTTATTCTTATACGAAAAATTTTAGAACTTGTAATATAGATTTTTTTTAGCCAATGCAAATGGTGAGGAAGCTATATTGACCTTCCTTGGCCGACGTTTTTTGTCTTGTGTTTGAATTAAATTTTTTAAATTGTCATATGTGTTGAAGGAAAAACAACATGGACAATGAAAACATGTTTAAGTGTAAAAAATACACTTCTAACGCACACCTTGTAATTGAGCGTGTATTCAAGACGAATCTGATTACGATTAATTGTAATATTTGATTAATTTGTTGCTTTTAATATTGTAATTTTTACATCTTCTAATTGATTTTATATGTATAAAGACAATAATTTTTATATAATAAAATAAAAACATTTTTTTTTTCATTTTTTGGTTTTTCTCTCTGCCTATAAGTGACTTAAGTATTTATGCATCGATGATGCCTGAATTGGCGAAACGTTGTGAAGTTAAATATTCACCTGTGTGCTTGGAGACTGATGCTTTTGTTGTATGGAGTTTTCCATTTAGCGGTAAAATAAGAAAACTTATGAATAAATTAATAGCAGAATAATAAACAGGGCTAAGATAAAGAATATCAAACTTTAGTAAACATTAAATGATTGGCTTCTAGACATATCTATACTACCATGATTAATTCATCTATCAAAAGAAGTCATAAGTCTCAGAATTTTAATAAGTACAGTATCTCCCACTACTATATGTGCTACACAAGAGTTTAAAATTACGAACATTGTTATTAAATTTCTGTTAATCAAATCAGATTTGATATATTTATCTGTGAAAGATAAATGTTTACTGAGTAGCATATACAATAGCTCAAATATTACATTTGTAGGAATGCTTAACGCTAGGAAGTGTCTCTTAAATATACGAAAGAGTCCAAAGATACTATTGTAGAAATAAAAAGGAGTTAGTCACTGGAAAAAAAATTACTATTGTAAATAAAAATTCTATATTAACTGAAGATAGTCGAATGTAGGATGTGGCAGAGGAGACTAGATAATATTCCTGAAAGATATAGGACTCAGTCATTTAATTAGAACTACAAACAAGCGCGTAATTAAAAGAAGATACAATAATAAACAATCCGTATTTGAAACCTATAAATTCAGTAAATTCAGATTATAATGTAAATAAACTACTTTCCTTTTCTGTGAATAGTTCTCTTAACTATTATTATTACATACTATTTTTTTTTACTTTTCTCTGTTTTCACATACATTAAATAAATAAATAACATCTTGGTGAATTTATAAATTAATTAATAATGAAATAAAAAAACCAATGAAATTTTTAACTTTAGATAGAAACTTCAATGAAACGACGTATAAGCGTGTTTAGAAGGCAATAAACGATATTTAGCAAAAATATTAAGTATATAATCTTTGAATATAACTTAGTTAAATAATCATTGTGACCATTGATATCTTCTTTATGATTTATTTCTTTTATAACACACGCTATTTTATATTCATCATAACATGTAGTTCCAAAAACTCATTAATTACATTATCAGAATACCCTTACATATTCATGTTTGGTTCCTATTATTCAAAGATTCACTCTTTAATTTAGTCATTAAGAATAGAACTATAACCGTTGATTAAAAGTTATCAACATAATTAATCTTAAAAAAGAAGTAACTGGTTCTGAATTATTGATGAACACTCTTTAAGACTTTTCACAAAACTATATTTAGAAATCCATTATGATAATTGTTGATACATAAAACAAATTGCGCGCACGCACGCACGCACATACATACATACATATATTAAATACATTAAATGTGAATGACAACGTGATGCTTGGTTGACTTTAATGGAAAAAAAATATATATAATATATACGTGTATTTTTTAACCAATAAAGTCAACCAAGCATCACGTTGTCATTCACATTTAATGAGAGTAAAAATCTAATATAAAAATCTGCTGTATGATCAATATTTCATTAGTTTTTAAAATAAATGTTTTTAAAACAAATGAATGAAAGCTTACTATCGGCTTAAATAAAATGATTATGATTATTATCAACATATAAAATAATAATCAGTCTTTCTAAATAACAACTTTTCTTTCTTTCATGCCAAGATATTAGATTATCAGTT